ACTCCAACATCCCGTGGGTATATGAGCACAGCGAGCCCGTTGCAAGTGTTGACCCAACAAATACCCTTTAATTGCTACGAAACCTAGACAGGTTTTAGGCATATGGAAGCATCACTCGAGAGTGTAACACAACGACTGAATACACGTGGAACATATGGTAGGAGGAATTTGACTCTCTACCATGTACGTCTGTCCTTTGCAAGCTTCTAGAGATTTGAGCGCTAATATCGCAAAAATTTATGTAACTTAGCGAGCTAGTGTGCGGTCACCATATGGTCCCTCTGAAGTGCATGCAATTTCACGCAGTTCATATCCAACCACAGAGTTGTTTTGAGGATCTTACGCGACACCCTGAACCACCTCCAGACATTGAGGGCAAGAAATTAAAAGCCTCTTTGACCCACATGTAACCAAAACAGAGTACTGTCCAAACACTGATTTGCGTAAATTTGCTCGTTCATAAATGCATTTGCTCCGTTACTTCGGCACCGCTCATCAGCCTCATATCATGCTTAGTACTTGAATCGTGCAGTGCAAATGAGACTGCAGACTGCCCTTTTGACCCCTTGTAATAATTCAGTTTCATTCATTCATTCTTTTATTATGATAATTCATTCAGACGACGAGATCACCGCCATGGATGATGAGGTAACTGCACCATGTGCTGCATGCCCAAGTTGACAGCTACACAGTGCAATGACGAACTGCTATCATCACTCGATAAGTCTGTCGGGATAATATTAGCCCTGAATAATACCAAACTATCAGTTGGGTGTGTACACCTGCTGTTAATCTCTGTAGCGATTACGAACAATCTGCTTATATTTTATGCTTACGCTCTCATATTTTGCTGCAGTACCTTGTCTTAGTCAACTACTTAATCAGACAACTTATCCAAGCTCGTCTTTGCGTGCTTATGCTCTGCTTACTGCCAGTCGTCGTGAATTGTGCATTCGGTTGCCTGACTGATCCGCTGTCGGAATATACGTGCGAATATATCGACATATTTCGTGCATTGTTTTCGTCCGATGCCGAATAGAACCAGGAGTAGTTGATGGGAAGTGAACCTATACATTGAGTGACTTAGATATTCTTATTAAACAGTTCACCACGCCTCTCGAGCCTGTGAAAATGGAACGCTTCAGAATTCCACGAAATATGCTTCTGACTCACCAATACAGTATAAGCTAATCGGAGGCGATTTCAATCTGCCAAGCATTTCCCGGACTGAATACAAAGCCACCGGTAAACAAGGTGAATTTCTGACTTACCTGCATGACGGAGGATGGACTCAACATGTAACTGGTCCTACAAGAGGACATAACACTCTATATCTTACATTCCCTTGTGGTTCGCTTGATGGCACTATCGGCATACTGGACTGCATTTATGACAGTGGTCATAAGGTTGCCAGTTGCAAACTAAACCTAGCATTCACATCTGATGCTCCAAGGAAAACACAGTGCAATCTCAACAAAATAAATTGGAAGACTTTTTCTACCTTAGTGCGTTCCCCTGACTGGGACAATTTTTCCCTATTTTTGGATCTGAAAGTGACCTTACAAGCATCCCATCAGAACGTGAGCTAATGCATTGTGACGCTGTGGTCCGATCTAAGTCGTAGCTCAACAAAAACGAATAGGACACAAGATAGAGATTATCACCAAATGTTAAGCAGACAATAGATCTAGCAGCGTTAATTCCGCTGCAGAGGCTGATAATTAGGAATGAAAATACAAGTGTTATTCATCTCCAAAAAAGACAGCTACATTAAATAATGTTAACAAGTTATGCGAGATAACATTATGGCTAAAATAGAGAGATACACAACAAAACCAGCCGTTTTGTATTGTCACACCTGATGGGGTGCTTATTGACACTCCTGCTGCTGTGTGGGAACGCGTTCAACTGCTATTCCGCCGACACCTTCACAAATACGAATGTGTTACTGGCAGTATAACCCACACCGCATACTGGTCCGTATGATTTTGCATTGTATTCGACATTACGCATATTAAACGCCAAATTGACCTTTTAGAAGCCGCCTTTCACTGGAGTCCAGATGGAATCCCATCGGCCATTCTAAAGCATGCCGGTGACAAAATATTATTCTTGGTACTGAATTAAGTTACTACCTCAATGAAATTTGGTCTCTATCCAGAGCAATGGAAGCCAACAACAGTAACCCCCCACGACATAAAACCGGGCCTGCACAAGATACCAGAAATTATCAGTCCATAAATTACTCCTACCTAATTTCCCGAATTATGGAACGCATTAAAAGGAAGGAAATCGTTGAATTGTTGACAATGAACAACCTTCTGTCTCCATATCAGCATGGTTTTCTCCAAAAACGTTCAAGTACCACATGCCATCTAGAGTTGTTCGAAAGTGTAACGAATTTAGTAGACCACGCCAAGGCTCGTATTGTAGCTCACCTGGATATTAACAAAGCATTTTACAAAGTTCCACGCCAACTACTTATTTAGAAGTTACGTAACAATAGCATAACTGGCTCACTGTTGTCTTGGATAGATTCATAGCACTGGCAGGATGGGCGATCGCTCAGTAAGGACAATGATCAATACTAGTGGTACAAGGTAGCATATTCGTGCCTTCCTTTCCTGATATATATAAATGATCTGTTTCCTGTAATCAATAACGGCAGAACTTGTTTGCCGATGATATAAAAGTTTGTATACTGCGAAACCATAAAGCGCTAACTTTATTTTGAAAATACAAAACGATTTGGTCTGTTTGGAAGCGTGGTGCTCTAATTCCGCAATTCCGACGATTAAATGCAATATCATGCGTTACGGATATTGTGTTCCATTAAAGTCACTCTGTACAACCTCTAGGTTCCCACAGGTGATTAAACTTGTGAGTTGGGTACGCTTAACTTTAAAGAAGAAATTAGGTAGACTGTGAACAAAGCACGATAAACCATTGGAGTGTTGAGCCGCTTGTTTATAGCAAATGATGTTGAACTCCTAGCTTTCAGTGTATTCCCGACCTATGCTAGAATACAGTACAATCACATTCAGCAGCATAATAAAATGTGATAAACTGAAAATTGAAGCAACTCAGAGACCTTCCACAAAAGACTTGTGGGTTGCACATCTATCCTATCTTACAAAGATAAATGTAAGCTGCGAAATCTGGAACCATTGTGGTTGCGAAAGTTAAAAGTAAAACTATGCAGCGTCACCCGGGGCAAAATGGGTTTAGGATAGATTAAAATTTGTATTAAATAATTTTATGAAGTAGTATGGACATCTGCAGACATTTAAAAAGAGAGATGAATAATTTCATAGCTACTTTGCATAAGGTGACAATAATTTGCTTTGCCACTACAATACAGGAAAGCTCCGTCATCTTGTTTATGGCTGCCGTGTGTCCACACTAGCTGATGAAAGTTCTCTTGAAAATAACTAAGTAGTAAACTTAGGCTGGTATGCGCCACATACTACTAAGCAATAAAAGTTGTTGTTTGAGCTTACAGACAAATCAAAATGGGTATTAATGTATTTTAAAGATGGTTTATGAATAACGTAGATGGGGTAGGTCTATGTTCAACAGAGCAACTTAACACAAGTTTATTGGAGATAATTTGTTTGATGTTATTTGTAACTCTCATACTGTCTTAACTATTATATTCTAACGTGCGTTAATAGTTACAGACTGCAGTACATGAAAATTGCGGCTATAAGGATTTTTTGTTTTAGGAAAATAATCAAAGCAAGCCCTACTTCAAGTTGACTTGCGTAAAATGCTACGAAATTGCAATCGCAAAACAACAACCAGATATACACCAGAAGACTTAGAAATTGCCAGAGGCCTGGTTGAAAATGTGTTTGCCACCAAACACTAGCGATGCACTTCAATCATTAGAGGTTGGTGTCTATAGGCCGTTAAAGCTGGTCTGGAAGTGTACTCCGAAGATAGCTATCTCCACCTGATGAGATGAAAAGACATTGAAACGCGTCGTGGTTGTGCAGGATTTTCGGGCGGGTAACACCCATTTTCCACTGTTATCATTCTTCACTTTATGTGACCCTTCTTTCATTGTTGACCACGACTTGGCCTATCACCTGATGTGACACAGTGAAGCCTCTAAGGCGAACTGTCTACAAATCCAGCGGCGTTAAAAGAAGTGTCATGCTTAAATGAGTTGAATGGGCCATTTGGCCGAAGTGGTTACTTTAATTGCACATAAAAATGTCCGAAAAATGAGTTAAAGTCGCGTTCGCTTGTCTGATTTTAGGCCACACCGGAATGCCGTCAGAATGGACTGAAGCACCACCACAATTACACATAAAATGACCTGAGATAAATCAAACCAGTAATAGCTTACATGCTTTTAAGCTACATCGACACAGATGAGCGTGGAAGTGAGGGTGAAACTTTTAGGAGGGACTACGCCGCATGGAAGCAGGTTCCCAGGAGACAGCTCAACAAATGGCCGTATGAATCTTTGATTATTCCCATTCTATTTGAAATATGCAGAAGCCAATGCTCTATTTTAATGTACGTACTCTCTTCTGTGGCCAAAATAGCGTAACCAGATTGCAAAATCCTGATCATGCCGGAAAGGGCATGTCACGTGAAACCGAGAATGCGCGTTATTATTATTATTGTTACAGCTAGAACATAGGGAATATATTAAGGTAAAAAATTAAAAGCTTCTCCGCGCCCAGCTGGGCTTCCGTTGAACATCTTGAAGAGACAACTGCCGTAGTATCCAAATGATTTCTAGACAATAGACAAACTAGACTATGTGGTTACGAAGGCCTTTGGAAAATAAGACCCGACGAAAAGCAGTGAACCACAAAGACGCAAACACGGCCATAGCAAGCCTCGTAGTTGTCGCACTATGAACAAGTAGCCGCCCTTCTCACATTCGATAATCACTGAATGTAACAGTAGGGAAAGTAAACCAGTTCTTGAGGCAAAAATGAAGTTAAAATAGGAGGAAGACTTGATGGTCAGGACTGTCTTACCCGATAAGCCTGTGTACATGGAAATGTCTGAAGAACTGAGATTATCTAAATTTTCGCTGAGAGTGGCTTCCAGCTTGAATATATTATCAGCTAGACTTTGCTTCCAGGCGTCGGTGACCTAGGAAAGAAGTACTAGCAAATGGAGGCAACCCACCTACCGTTACAATGTCAGGGTTCTGGGCAGTCCAAGGGTTCACAAAGTGTCGATCATCCGCCACTTCGACCATAGTGGTAGAAACCAAAGGTTTCAACACGCAAAAGCGAACGCTTAAAAGTTACAAGTGCAAAGAAAGAATTGCAGCAATAGATGGGGTAACTGAATAAAAGGATGAGTGGTAGAAACAGAGAATATGGCGCGCGCAGAAATAAGTAAACGAAGAAATTGATCTAAAGGAGAGCAAACACACCTACGATGGGGTAACAGACAATGATAAAAACGCGAGGTTGAGTTCGTGGATTGCTTCGAGAGAAACAAAGGATTCTACTCGAAAAAAGACTTAATCGTTCTTGGTGACTTGACAAGTGTTCCAGCATCACTACAAAGAGTACCCACCAATCATAATAAGCCAACGAAGGACAGTCGGATAGACAATTGTGTAATTATAGTTGGAGTGACGAATACAACTGCCATAGCTCATGTAATCGTGAGGAAGAGAAAACATAGAGAATATGGAAGAAAGCACAAACTAAACCTGGGGCGTAAACCCATGGAGGGACAATAAAAATGCCATTGATCGAGCCTAAGCAAGAGACCGGGTGCAATAAGATTATTGCTTCTGTGACTACACCGAGTCGGTTAAGACTCCCAATATGGAATTTGAGCTACCCTGAGAACCCAGTTCAGAAGTGTGACGTGCATCAGCTTCGTGTGGCTCTAAAGGCAGTTGCGTCATTCGCTGATACTCTCAGTATTTCACCTAACCAGATGGCAACAAAAGCGGGGTAGTAACGCTGTAGTACCTAGTTAATCAGTATATGAAGAACTGTATTTAATCAATGTAAACAAAACGTAGTCCACATAGTCTGAAGTTACACAGGACATCAGCTAGTCAAAGTTATTTCGCAATTGATAACCTGCCGCGAGACGTGCTATAAGTAGATGTTTCCTAATATTTTTGTACTCGGTGTTGTCGAACCCGACTGACATCATCATCATACACGTCAGCTAGAGGTGGGAAACACCTCAGCTACTGTGTCGCAATACATAAAGGAAAAGGAAAATAAATACAACAGTTGCATGCCAGCTGAGCTACCAGCAACGGATAGGCATCGTACTGCACGATAAATCGACCAACTACGAACACCGACCAGTAGCTGCCCAAGACGTCACCAACGCGCTACTGCGAAACCAGCTTTACATCCATTAATATCCCACACCCTAGCCACACAATAGTTTCGAATTGTGGGACACACTATAGTGTGTGGTAGTAGTAGTGTGTCAGCTGGACGCCGTAACGGTGCTTCGCTGCCGCACAACCACCACCAGTCGCGCGCGGGCTGAGTATACCGAGAGGACGCCCACCCCTACGCGGATTCGAACCCGTGATCTTATGGTTGCAAACCAAACGTGCAGCCCACTCGGCCACCGGCCGGACGATGTGTATACAGTACCCTAACGGGGAGGCGAAAAGCGAACATTATGCGGTGACATGACTCGAGGTGACAGATCAGTTTCGTGGAACACTGAGCCCCTTCAGGTGAACGCAAAGCTCCACAGCTCAGCCTGTTATGTAAGTTTGTAGATGGTACATATCAGTTGAGAAAATAAGTCAGTTTTCACAATTTCTGTCCATATCTGTAATGGGCTTCGTAAGAAGCCAAAATTTTGGTTGCTTCCAGAGCTGAAATAGGTGGCTTCATTTTGACTACGGTACACAGCGATCCTGATAGGACGTAGTCAATTGAGAGTACATCTTGTGACCAACCAAAACTACACTGGATTGCGAGACTCATTTCCAAGGGATGTTGTGATCAACCAATCAAAACTCACGTGCCCTCGCTACCAGTTCCCGCTGTGCCGGCCACGTGTGGTAAGAAAAGGGAAAGTAAAACTGCTGTGGTGGGATAAAAACATAATTTGAAGAGGGAGTTAGTAAATGAGAAGGAAGAAAACGGGAAAGCAATAAGGGGAATTGTAAGCGTCCAACTACTTGGAAGTCTTGATTGAACCTGTTTCTATTGGATTCAACAATAAGCAAAGCCGGAACTGGAATACCGTAATATTTACAAATAATTGAAAACAAAAGATGTGCAATACCACAACAATCTGTGCTTCAGGTACAGGCGTAACAAGCAACAATAACAATCTAAGTTAGCCAGCAAGTCGAGCTTCAAGTACCAAGTGTAGTAACCTCATCTCAATGTACCGTGGCTCAAAACTGGTACACACGTGATCAATAGGAAAGGGCGGTTACCGTGAAACGTGGGCGCTTGGTTTGTACCTTGCACACATGCACACACACAGTGTGATGGTATTGTACGTGTTTCAAGTGCATGTAGAGTAAATTCACGATTGGTCGACGGAACGAGGTGGTTTCACTTATGTGAAATTTACTCCATCTCGCACCATCGTCAGGTCCCGTGCGATGTGAGGAATATTTTTGTTGGGAAAAGGCAATATCTCCTAAGAACTACATTAGAATCAACCAAAACCATGGCTTATTGCTAGTTAGCATTTTTGATTTTTAAACGGTGCGCGCTATCCGTTCCCACTTCAGACGAGCACTGTGATGGGCCGATTTGGCAAGGCTGTTGAATGACCTGAACCAAGCGAGTTTTCACTACTTTCTGGTGTTCTGTGTTGACGTGCGAATAGAACTCGTGTCTGAGGTCTCGTCTTCTTTTCTTCCGGTGTCGGGGCTACAGGCTGGTGCCGGATTTGTGTTGCATTTGTGATTCTGTGCCGTGATTTCGTTGTGAGTGTTCAGTTTCTGTACGTGTTCGTTTCAAATTGCGTTAGTGACCATAGGATCGCAACAGTATTGCTCATCATTTGCTGAATGTCACAGCGCGGGAGTTAAAAAGGAAGCATCAAAAATCAGACAAGATGAGGCGAAGCCACGTGAAGAGACAATGAAGTCTGTTCAGAAGTTAGAAAAGTAGGTCAATGCTGGCACGACTGAATCCAGGTCAGCTACGTGCTCACAGTGCAAATAAACGCAATTAACTAAGCACCGGAACACAATCTCCATTGAAAGCCAGGTAATAAAGATCGATTGGTACAGGGAGAGGAGTTGGATAAATGGTAAAGTCACGGCCAGAAGCCAGAGAGTGGCAGGAAGGCATCACAGGATAGGATATTCGGGGATCTTCTACAGGAACTAAAAAGAGGAAGGGAAGACTGGGGTTGCAAATTGAGGGTGTAGAGACGACGTTTGAACTCTGTCACCGTGGGTGAGTATACGACGTCCTCAAGTAGTACCTTAAAGGATCTATCACTCCCCGTGATAAACGAGTGTCAACATGAACCCGATCAGGTCGGAGTTTGTGCAACTTCATCAGATGCCCGCGGAGAATTGGTAACTGGGCCGGATGAAAAAGACAGGAAAGGTCTGGGTCGATCCGACTTGTCAGCATGCGGTAAGTGAGAATCAAATTGCTACAAAAACGACGATAGTGTAATGTGAACAGCTTTAAAGCTAAATTTAGGGAGCACGCTGTGCGAACATCTTTAGTATGTGTAACCGGTTAAGGTAGTGCAGGTGCCGGAACCCTGGGACTATTTTGTTTCCAGTCCTCAAGACCCGTTCCACTACCATCCTGTCACGCGTCAGGCAAGAAGGACAAGCCTGGATAGCACGAGTGTCTTCCGAGTGACCGGTGTTTCGTCCGATTTTAATCCCGTGACCGTCCGATTTCCGTTCGAAAATGGCCAAGACGAAACAAATTTCGGACGGAAAATGGACAGCCAAAAATTGACAATACTTACTCATTCTTTTTTCCATTAAATCGCAGTTTCGATTTCTATTGATTTCTGCTTCTTAGCGATCGTTCAGACAGGATTTACTATTGAAGAAACCTACGGAACCGTTTTGCAGTGCCAGAAAATCACTTTTTGGGGTAAGAAACATTTATTGCGCAGGAACTACTCGAAAGAATGTGATAAACAAGGATAAGCACGGTTTCCTTATCTACGCAACCCTTAAAGCACTCGTTTCCAACACCGACTTCAATCCGATATCAAACGGAAATAGGGCACTTACAGAAACTAACGGGCTGGTTACTTGATTCGTTGTCGCCGGATTACTGTATGTAAAGATGTTCTCAGAGGAACCTGTATTCGATCTTGATGTAACAAGTTTTCTTGTTTTACTAACTAAAATGTTATAATACTCAGGCTGTGGTAAAGGTGTTACTTTGCGCTCAAAGGTTGTACAATGCACTTCTGCGACGGGCAAATGCACATTTCGTGTTGCAACATCTGCCCTGGGTTCTATGGATGGCTCCAGCGGATTGATTCTCCAGGTGTCCGTTTGCCCTGCGACGTTCGCAGAATAGCCGTGTTTCGAGAGGCAAAGTAACTATCAGTAAGCACTGCACTCCTAATCCGGGTAAAGTACGCACCGCTGTTCAATCACCGACCATCTTCCTGTCACTGGATGTTTCCGGTACGGCCACTCCCGCAGGTAAGCTAAGCCGTATTCCCTCCTCTTCGGCGTTTGCGGTGCCTGTTGATTGCGGCACTAAGCGTAAGAGCAAGTTGTACGCAGCAGTGGTGGGTGATTGCGCGACAGCAAGTCCAACAATGACAAACAGCAGTACAGTTGAGCGAAGAAAGAAAGTCAAGGCTATTTGCAAACCTAAATGCAAGCCGACTCTCACATTCTAAACTAAAACTGATTCTTGACAGTCAGTCAGCCATAAAAATGTTTAAAAATAGTCCACCTACTAAGTTATCGGTTCATAAGCGCAACCAACCTCCTAGTGACCGATGTGTGGTCATCACGCACGCAACTGAGTAAAAGGATACTCAGGCCGAGATGTCATACGACCAAGTTTCTACGACGTACGGTTTACTTGCTTCTAGATGAGGGTGAGCAAGGGATCAATATTGTCTCTGTTTTTCATCACAGTAGGAAAGCAGGTCCGACTAAATTTCATCTTCTGAGGGTATTTAGTGAAAATGAAGAGGAATATCATCGTATTTTCAAACAGACCCCGCGTCTCAATGGGAAACGTTCTTTGTGCTGTAAAATCTCTTCCCAGAGGGTCGTGTGTGAATGAAGGCCGCTGATGAGCTACGAATACGGCGTTCAAGTGGCGAAACC